GGGGGGGGTTAAGGTACTAGGACGGTCAGGCAAGTCATTGACAGCAATATCTTCCTGCCCTTCTTTTTTAAACTTCATAAACTTGAATGCTGTAACATTTTCATTTCATTGTGTAATTAGCTTCCTTAGCAATTTATAATAAAGCAGTGTACACTTCTGCTCGTAATTTTATCTCACAGAACTTATGAATTCAGGCTGATGAAGATGAAAGTAATTGGCAAAGAAGGAAGCTTGATGAGGAGCCAGCATGGTCACATAATTCTCCTCACGTAATTTCACAGTTAGCTCAGTGCTTTAGTGAGTTCAAATTATTCTTCTAATTTTCCACCTGAATAATTTCATTAATGGTCGCTGCATCTGCATCTTTTTTGCCTACAGTTCAGATAGATTCTCCTAGGTAGTTTATTTAGTCTTTCAAATCTTTGTTCTTCTTTTTTTGTTAAATTCATAATACAGGAAATTTGTTGTTTACTATGTTTGTGCTTCTTTTACATTGCAAAATTTTGGGATTGTCTAAATGGAAAGTTGGGAACTGTTACTCTTTTTGCAATACATATGTGATCTGAACATCTTTCATCACCAGTATTACTATCTAGAAAGAAGTCCTCATATTTTAAGTTTAGAGGCTGTATAAACCAAACTGGACAAGCATACAGCCTAATTAGGATAAGCATGGTACATCATAGACTAGTGCATGGTGCAAATTGTCGGAAGAACAATGCGAAGAATAGTGAAAAAGAAAGACTTCAATATAAAACTTCAAGAACACATCTTGATCATCTTTTTTGGGCTGTTCTTCCCTTTACTTAACATGTTAATCAACTAATGTGTACATTTCCATAGTTATTTGTCCATTTCACTTATCAGATTTTGATGGCTGTAGCTAATGCTATGGTTGGACCACGAGCATGGATAGGAGGAATCTTCAACCGCTCGGGCAATAAACGGTTCGGAAGCGATAAATATCTTGACTACCCCTTAACTCCTCTTCAGGTAAACCAGAGTACTATATTGTTGGCCTTTGAGTTTATCTGGCCTTTATCTCTATTTCATGTCTATCCAAGTTAAATAGGCTTCTTTCTGTTGGTAGAAATTGTTGAGACTATTATGGAAGTTCTTTTTTTTTTTTTTTTT